AGGTGGGGAAACAGAGGGGTGGGGGGGGGGAGAGAAATTAGACCAGTGTTAATGAAACAATGAAGACAACAAAAATGTTTATTGCCGTTTATTAAATTGTTGAAATTGAGTAAATGCTCTGTCGTGAGCAAACGGCCATTCAGGTGTGAACAATGGTTTAGCAGCATAGGCCTGCTATAATTAGAAATCTGCCAAGGCAAGTCGCTACCCCAGCATTACAAAATTCTAATTGTCCAGTACATAGTTTTGAGAAATTTGAAAACAAAGATTTTGAGTTTCACACCATGTAAAGCTTTGCCAAATGCAATTCTTCGAATATCTTGATACAGACTACGAAAAATCTTACGATTTTGATAGAGCAGATAGAACATTTGGTTTTTGATCTCGTCGTGGTCGTAACTCAAAATATCCAAGAATGTCAGATAGAACTTTGTAATTTTGAGGTAGCGATGTGTCTAAAATGTTAGTTAAAATTAAATTGAATTTGGAAGTACCCGGTAGAAAACAAAGTCTTTGGTGATCAAACTAGTAGAAGATTGAGAGATTACCTTAAGCTAAAACTACCCATTTTTTTCTTCTTATTTTTAATGCCGGAGTGAGCATGCATGTGTTGGTGGAAGGTGTAAAGAGGTTTTTCAAGGTTTAATTGTGTTTGGTTTATGCGCCTACGAGAAGTCCCGGGAGGGGAAGGTATGTTTATAATTTTGTGTATTAGCATCTAAAGAAAATGTACTATTTTATTAAAAATCAATAACCCAAACGTAAATTACAACAGTTTCCTGTTAACATGTACTGCAAATATTTATAATGTAAAAAGTCACAATTATTTCTTTATTTCACACGAGTAAGTTTCTAAATTTTTATTTTTAGGCAGAAGCTGGGATCTATAATAGTATAGATGGGTGACTGGAAAAGACCGGGATAAAAATAGTAACATTATAAGTTGTTGTCTTTTTTCATAGCATCAGAGCAAAGAAATGAGAGGCGAAACATGATAACCGCTGTCTGCTACAGATCTGGCATTTCATGATGATTATAAGATAAGATAAGATAATACTTTATTATTCCAGAGGGAATTTTTTACGATGATAATGACAATGACAATCTATCCGCACACAATAATATAATTATAATATTGTACCAAGCAATGGAACAAGGGTAAAGTGGGGATACAATAACTTAGATAATATAGATCAAGATTCTTTTCCATAAAGCGAATCTCTAATCTATTTAAGGGTAATTTATTTTGTAATTTAATTTTTAGAATAGTTTTAAAGTAATGTTTTTAAATTTATTTTTAATTAATTTTTTTGGGGGGAGGGGGAGGGGGACGGGTAATGGTTTCACATTTTGAGAAAAGGTTAACGCTGCCGACAGGATTCGAACCTGCGAAGGGCAGAGCCCCAATGGATCAGAAATCCATCGCCTTAACCACTCGGCCACGGCAGCTATACACATAGAGCTGATCACTGTCTACTTGTACAGGACCAAGATCCCCTTACCTACTCGGAAACATTGCATAAGACAGTAAAGTTGTGTAAAGCGAAGGTACTTTCACTTTTGGTGATTAAAAACAGAACAAGCAAAAAATAATCGTGGATAAATCCGAAGGATGATATCAAATATACACTGTGTGCGGTGTTCTAAATAAATATAAATTGATAAATGAATAGGTTAATTTCACTCCAAGTCATACAAATCAGGATTACTGAGAAAGTCAATTTTAAAAAGAAATTAAAACAAACCATCGGTTACAAATACACTCAAAATAGAGATCTAAATCTCTGCTGACGAACGGTGTTTAGTCTAAGCCCTTCCACTCTCATTACCGTATGAGTTTCCGTGTATCTGAAAGTTTTATTTTGAACACGGAGATTTCGGTTTCGGTACTTTTAAAAAAGGCATTATGTCAGAATAATATATCAAGGGAAATAATACAAAAATCACTTCTTATCTATTATTTTTATATTTGGTTATGTCCCTTGATTTAGAAATCGTCTCCTAACGCATGTGCGCTTTTGGTCGAGAGCATAGAGGGCACATTCCGCTCTGAACGGCAGACGAGGATTGAATAATTATACAGTCGAAATTGTCTAAAACGGCTACCCGTTGACGAGAAGAAAGGTGACCGTCATAGACAAGTGGTCGTCTTATACAGTCTTATCATAACGGTTAATTTAAAAAAGAAATACTATCTGGAAATGGTGAGTGACCATTATTTTATACATATGAATGTCTTATGCAGGTATGCAGGTTGCGATTAGAGCAGGTTTGAATCTAAATATTATTATTATTCCTCACGTGATCTTGTTGACACACAAATAAAAAATGAGACACTGTATAAGTCACAGTGAGGTGTTATTGGACGTTGTAATAGTTGTAGAGCGCACAGAGCATGGATAATCGTATACCAATAACGCAATTTTTATTTTATATTTTACAAGCGCTTGGTTCTTCGAAGTAGCTTTTGGAACTTAAAACATTCTCTCGGATTTGGGCTAAATCAAATGCACATGCTTGCAAAAATTAACCTGAAATCCCATTTTTCTAGAAAACCAAAATGCATTCCAACGGAGTTCCTTATGAGCTTCATCAAAAAGGCCCGTAGAATTTCAAAAGCCGTCTAAAAGAAACTATTTTTGTTTACAGTTACATGCCCAGCAAAATTGAACAAAGAAGAAGAAGAAGAAGAAGAAGAAGAAGAAGAAGAAGAAAAAGAAGAAGAAGAAGAAGAAGAAGAAGAAGAAGAAGA